CGAGGGATCTTTTTCCATTTTGTGTCGTGCGCTTGCGCAGCGCGCTCGGATCGCTATCACCACCTGGACTCCGAGGACGACACAAACGACGAGGAGCCACTCGAGATGAGGCAGTTCTCCTCCTGCTCGCCCCGCTTCAAGGTACGCCACGGCCCTGCGGGCTGCTGACACTGCGGCACGGGCCAGGCCTCCGTGCATCCCTTGCTTACCTGGTGGTAATCATAGGGAACGCAGCACATTGGAGGGGCTGTGCTCATATCCACACACTCAATGTAAATAATAAATAGAGCAGAAATATATTATCACCCTTTGTCAATTCACTGCTGGATGAAGGCCTCCCTACATTGTTCACTCTTCCTACATCTTGCTGATCTAACTTAAACATATATGTGAGCATTACAGAAAAAAACCTCACATACACTTTCACATGAACTGAATTTCATTTTATGTAGCAATTAAATATTTTAAAAATCACTTTAATTCCATGGGTCGGTACAAAAAATCATATATTGGTAGAATGGTTTCAAACTCCGAACTTGGAGGGAAATTATGAAGACCACTTTGGGTACTACAAGATGAATTGTAGAGAAGGACTAGCGATCTAGACCAGATCCTGGAGATGATCTTGAGAGAGGGGGTGAGGAGAGAAATGAAGACATAACTTATCAGATGGAGGACATGCCCAGTACCGTGTAACTCTGGTCCTCTAAGGATGTTCACCCAGGCTGCAATTGTGACGAGTGTATCAAACAAACTCAAACGGTCCCCTGCCTCGCTCTGCCTGCCTCTCCTACTAGGTTTACAGCAGCATGGAGCGTCTGTCCCACCACGACGATCGGCGCATCCCCACCACGCCCGCGACGCCTACGCCCACCCCGACGCCCAAGCGCAGCGCCAGCGAGGACAAGGATGAGCGCGGCAGCCTCGTCACGCTGCGCGCGCACGACAAGGGCTGGATGCTCGGTTCGCCAGAAATGTGAGCGGCGTTGTTGCGTTTGCCATACTCCGCTCTGGTTTAATATAAAAGCTTTCGAGACCAATTTATCCATAATAAAGGTTTCTTTGGGTTAGATCACGTAAATATAGATGTCTATATTTTAGCCCGCCGCCACCCAACACAGGCACTAAACACACTTCAGCACACCAACACACCGGTGTGCTGAAGTAGTAACTAATTGGCACGTTTTGTTTGCATTACAAACCTTATTAATTGGCTGTGTCAGGTGGTGGCAGATTCACTGCACATTTATACTTAGGCGATCTAACCCAAAAAACTTTTATGATACTCCACACCTCCTCCCGTTTGTATCGTTGCGCATTTAACCCAGAGGACTCGCTACTCAGCCCTTGCATGTTTGCACATGGCAGTCCAGCGTCTCCACTCGTTCCTGTCCAACGCTTTGCAAAGTGCCTCTGGTGATGTCCGAGCCGATGTTTTGAAGATCTTTTCCAGCAGTCTCCCTGACATCCAAGTGTGGGTTTCCAAGTCGAGCTGCATGTTGAGCATTTATTCTCTCAAGGTTGTGCAGCAGCAGCAGAAGAAGAAATGCTCAACACGTGACCAAATCCAGATAATCTTGCCTGTGTTAAATAGTCCGTCTTCTTCCCTGGAGGGAGGCTGCCGGGTGGGTTATTCCAGTCCTAAGCCTGGAGGAAGAGGGTTTTGCAATGGTCTTATAAAAACCTACTGCAACACAAATGGTACAGTGGAACATTGGCAACTGGCAGGACAGTTGTACCAATGTTATAGCAGAGGCCAAAGCTGCAGAGAATGGAGTAGCTTGATCATTGAGGTTACGAATTATCGGTAATGAGGAGAGAGAGTTACTAATAATGAGTAGGAGATATGACTTGTGACAATATGAATTTCCCTTTTTGTGTAAGTTGAGTAACTTTAACATTTTCCAGCAATGCGATTGGTTTTCTTTGTTACCCTCTGGTGTCATGTCCTGTTACTGTTTTCACGGCAGCTTCACTGGCCAGAGCTGTGTGATTAGACGGCATTTGTCCGCGCGCTGCTTATTTTCTCTGTCGACGCGTGTGACGCGACCGGCGTCCGTCTGTCTCAATCCCCAGCCTTCGCAAGCGTCTGTCGGGCTCGGAGTCGTCGCACACGGAGAGCGACGGGAGCCCGCCCGTGACGGTGCGGCGCCGGCGCTCGGCGCTGCTCGACATGCCGCGCTTCGCCATCGCGCTCGAAGACCAGGAGGGCGAGGCGGCCTGCACGGCGGCCGCAGCGGCAGTCGCGATAATGGGCGGAGGAGGTGCGACGTCGTCGCACGCGCCCGTCGCACGGAGCGGCAGCAAGTCCGGCGCCACGCAGGCGCTGCTCACCATCGGAGAGCTGGCGCTGACGGAGGAGGCTGGCGGGCACGCCCACACACCCCGACGTGCAGCGAGGAGAGGCTGGCGGCGATAACAGCAGCTCCCACACTGTCCGGGAGAGACGGCCACGCTCGGCGGCTCTTACCACCGATGGGGAAACCTTCCGTAAATGGAACAGTTACCATTCTGGCATAAAATATTAACTTAAACGGCCAAAAACCTTGAAGGCTCGAACTAAACACCCATCTGATAATCACATGCAGAGTACCACGTCGTTGCAGAGGCATCAGTGGCAGGTGGCTCGAACTAACAGGATTCAGCCCTACTACCCTGCTCACTAACACAGCCTAGACATGAAAAGCTCTCAAGGTCACCACGATCGGAGCACGTGGGAACCCGACACAATCGGTGACCACATGTCCTTGGGCTTGTCAGCCTACCACATGCTCATCTTGTGAAATCTGCAGGCCATCATTTTGAAATATGTTTACTTGTATAGAATGCAATAATTGTACTCAACTAAAAATATCGAGGTGCACCTTAAAAAAATAATATTATCCCCACCATGAGAGGACACACCTATTCAACTCACTGCAGAAGTAAGTGTACCTGTTGTACCATCTCCAGGGTCCGTGTCGTTCACTGACGTGGCAATGATGCTTCGATAATTATGGGAGTTTCGCCAGAAAGTTGTCTTGCCTTCCAACCCAATTCTCTAAACTAAACTGAAATATAAAAATGCTATTTTACCAGGTACGGCCTCCCGAGATATATAGCTGTTTTTCAGAAACAACCTGGCCACAAGTGATAGCTCAGCGAAGTTGCTTATCATGTGGAAATGTATATCAGCCAACTACTCTAAATGCACATTGATTCGAAATGTGAAGGGAAAAACTGGAGGACCCGGAGAAAAATCCACACGACCACAGGGGGGGAGACGTGCAAACTCCATATATACAGTCGTCAGGATCGTTCAGGACCTCCTGTACACTCGGCGAAGTAGTCAACATCTCACCACCTTGGTATCCCGCCCCCCCCCCCTCGTCCCGGCGCAGTAGAGAGCGGCACCGGACGTCTTGGAGGGCCCCGCCCGTTCCCGTGGTGGACAGCGCCGACTGCTCGCTGCTGGACGGCGCCGCGTCTGCGGCCGCGTCGTCGACGTCGGCCAAGGCGACGAGCGACCTGGCGGTGCGGCGCGCGCGCCACCGGCTCATGTCGGGGGAGGCCGGGGCGACGCCGGCCGTCGGGGGACCGGCCCCCGAGCGGCGCAAGGCCAAGCCGCTCACAAGGTCATCAAGTCGGCGTCGCACAGCGCGCTCTCGCTCGTCATTCCCTCCGGTGAGACGCCTGATGGCGCACTCGCCCCACCGCAGAAAACGTTACTCGTTTAGCGAAGCCTCGCCGAGCAAATGGGTATTCGTGTATTCGAGAAAGTCCTGCGGGGTGGCGTGATTGCTCAGTTAATTTTGAATACTTTCCACCTCAGGTTAAGTGCGTATACTTTAGTTCTGTATATCCGCCCGTCTGTCCAGAAATGATAATAACTCTTGTAAAGATGATCCGGTATAAACAAGCCTGTGTTTTAAAGTTATGCTGATCTCAAGGACTCGATTTACCAAAACATTAACAAAATTGATCAGAGCGTTTCCCAAAACTTGGAGACACAAACCTGAGCATTATAGGACTACTTGTAAATAAGTAAATGCGTTTTTCCATTACAAATACACACCAGCTTCCTTACCACTGAAGAAAAAACAAATAAAAAGGCATGTTGTAAGCGTGACAGTATTCGGTACATGTGCGTGGAATACTTGTGCTCTTATAGCTCATATTGTATAAGGGCACAAGTGCAGTTTCACTAACCCACTTGCTGTACTGCCGTCTTCTGGCCACTTCATTGTCACGTGAGTCTTTGTGATCCTTAAATTCTTGACTCCACAGTGGTGAATTACAAGTGCGAATTGTCATATTTTCCATTAAATACACAAAAAAAATGGATTTTATCATATACAAACTTTGGATGTGTATTTTGGGCTCAACTCCATGTTCTAATAGCTGCGTTCATGTGAAGAAAATATGTGAAGGTCACAATAAGTAGCTCCGTCACATTGCTGTTGTCATGTCACTTCATGGAGATGCTAAAATCCGAATCAGACGGTGTGGCAGTTATGTCAGTCACGTGGCAATAACTATACTCTTGATTGTAACGCGTCTTGTTTCTCACTGACACACTTTGCAGAGCTTAGAGCTCATGTTAGGCATGCCGGAGCAGACAGCTAAAGTTCCGTCTACATTACATGTCGGAACCCATGTAATCCTCTCACATTTGGAACAGTGCGGCTACGTGCAGTGGTATGGACGCGCCAGCGGGTGCATGTGTGCATCTCTGGGTCGTTTGCTTACGTGCGGATGTGTGTGCGCACGTTGGCGTGCTACAGAGCAGTACGTGGGCTCCCCACTGGCAAGCCCCATGTCCCCGCGCTCGCTGTCGTCGAATCCATCGTCGCGAGACTCGTCCCCATCGCGGGACTTCTCCCCGGCGCTGGGGGCGCTGCGCTCGCCCGTCGTGATCCACCGCGCCGGCAAGAAGTACGGCTTCACGCTGCGCGCCATCCGCGTCTACATGGGCGACTCGGACGTCTACTCTGTGCACCACGTCGTGTGGGTGAGTGAGTCAGGGTCGCACGCTGGGTGGATTCAAAAGAGAAGAAATAATCATTGGTGGGGCGATAGATGGGGAGAGGGACCATAGCAGTGGTTGTTCGCTTTGACAGAGGTCTTGTGAAGCCGACAGAGTTAAAGAAAAACGGCGAGATCAACTCAGACCACAACGTGGACGAACGGAGACAAAGATGGAATGACGAGCAGAGGGAGGTGTCCGTCGAATATTGAAAAAACTTTAGAATAAAGTTTTTTTCTTTAGAATAAAGTTTTTTTGCAACTAGGGACTCAGCTTATTGAAAATCGGCCAAATGAATAAAAACTTGGGAAACAAACCCAGCTAATAAGACTAATTGCAATCCACTTCCATCCTGCTCATTAAATACTTCCGATTTTGGAAAGCGTTGCATAATCCATCCATATGCACATTTTTTCCTAATTTGTTTGCTTTTTGTGACTTTTTTGTGGCTCGCTCTTTGTGGCGGCTGCTGCTGCTCTCTTGACCGTGGCAGAACGTGGAAGAGGGCAGCCCAGCCAACGAGGCCGGACTGCGCGCGGGTGACCTCATCACGCACGTCAACGGGGAGCCCGTGCACGGCCTGGTGCACACAGAGGTGGTGGAACTCATCCTGAAGGTGACGACACCACTTCCTCATCCTCCCCACAGCTCCTGCTGGCCTCCTGCTATGTTTTCTTTCATATGGCATTTGTAAAGCAACTACTTGTGGTGTATTGACTGGGCGCCTTGTAAGGGCTGATCAGTATTTTGCCATTGGTTTTTGGAGAGGGAGGCGATTATCGTATTCGGTCACCGATTTGATGACATATTTTTTCACATGTGGCAGGGAAGCCGGGAGAATATTGCCACGGTGGCGAGTTGTTAATTACCTCGCCTGGTTTCCAGGTCGTGGGTTTGATCCAAACATATGTCCATATGTTTGGAATTTGCATGTTCTCCCCGTGGTTGCGTGGATTTTTCTTCAGTTCCTCGTTTTTTCCCTCCACATTTAGAAACATGCGTTTAGAGTATTTGGCTGCTATAAATATCCACATGATAAGCCACTTCGTTGAGCTATCATATGTGGCAATGCTTCTTCTGAAAAAGAGCTCTATAGCTCAGTGGGCCTTACCTGGTAATATAAAAAAAAATCAAAATCTTCCATGCCTTTTGTAATAGGAATAAGAATAAAAATGTAATCGAGATCATGTAGCCATCTATGTAACGAGTCATTGAATCTTACTTTGCCTACGATACACGCGTCAAATCGTGTACATGAAAATAAAATTTATTTTGTCTATTTCCCTCATGGTATCCCACCTGGACTCTCGGCATCATGAGATGAATCCATGAGGATCTTTCGCAGAGCAGTGCAAACCAGACCTGAGATCTCTTCAAGTGACCTACCTCTGGTTCACGCAGTAGGGGGCAGCATTTTCCACCAACCCCGCCACAGAGAGTAAATGATCGTCGCATTACAGTAAATAAAATATTTTAATTCTTCTCCCTGAATTTAAGCCAAATGAAAATGTCATTGCCGTCATTGTGGAGACTAAGTAATGTAAAATAGTTAATCAGAAAACATGCCTCTTTCATATATCGCTCCACATAAAAAAACAAGCCTCTGTTGCTTGTATTTGAATCAATACTGCTGAAATGATGCACTCTCACAACTGTAAAGCTGATGGTTGTGTTTAAAAAATGCTTTTATTGTTTATGTTGACAGACAGACTTAGGAGATGTACAGTCTGCTTATCTATTTTGTTCACCAAATGAAGTGCAGAACCAAATTTGACGTGACGGATTTGTTGTTGTTGCGGCCATTGGTGATCAGGCTAAGTTTATCACTTTCACTACATTCCGACACATTTTAATCACGGGTGGCTGCCCCAGATTAAAACCCTGGATCTCAGCAGTGCTGTCTCTAATGTCTGACTCCTAAGCCACCTGGCCAACTTGCTCGTTAAGGCTCACTCCTATGTGTGTGTGTGTTGCCCTTTTGCGCTTTGCTCGTCATCTGCTGTAGAGCGGCTACAAGGTGTCCATCGCGACGACGCCGTTTGAGAACACGTCCATTAAGGTGGGGCCTGCACGGCGCGGCAGCTACAAGTCCAGGATGGCTCGGCGCAGCAAGAAGAGCAAGAAGAAGGAGGGAACCGACAAGTGAGAGAGCGGTCGTGGAGCTCAAGGAGCAGCGGACATTAATAGATGATTTTGTTAACCTCGCTCGCGGCAGGCAGACACCGGATATGTTTTCCCGTACTGTACAACGCCGCATATTCCGAATGTCACCTGTCTGAGGTGACCAATGAAACACCTAAAGCCCAATTGAGGGATTCTTGTATGGTGTAACTGTCATTTTCTCAAAGATGTTCACAAATCTGACCCATTCACATGCAGTTAATATGATCTTTATTTCACGTACAATCTTTCATTTCTGAAGTATGGTCAAGCATTTCCCAATGTATAAAGCAACAAAAGTGCAGACCAATTGATTGTATTTATCTGTTTGACGTCACTAAACCCTGAGCTGTCAACACCAACAACTCACCGCGTTTGTACCCCTGTGCCTTCTACGCCCCCAACTGCCCCGCACCACACAGTCGCAAGCGCACGCCGCTGTTTCGCAAGGTGACACGCCAGGTGACGTTGCTGCAGACGAGCCGCAGCCTGTCGTCCCTCAACCGCTCGCTGTCGTCCAGCGAGAGCGTGCCGGGTTCGCCCACGCACAGCCTGTCTCCACGCTCGCCTCCGCAGTGCTACCGCTCCACCCCAGACTCGGCACACTCCGGTGAGGCGCTCCTTCGGTTGTTCCTCCTTCAATGCGATAATGAACAACCGCGTTCACCCTGACTGAGCAGCCAATCGCGTTCACCCTGACTGCACAACCAACCCCGTTCAGTCTGTTGCAGCAGCCCGCTAATTCACTCTGTTTAATGACTAATTCACCGTTACCAAAAGACTGTTGAATTGACCCTTGACCAAACCACCAACAAATTCACCAAATGATCGACCGATTTACCGCGATTGAACGACCGTGCTTTTTGCCTATTTTATTCACCAATGACAGTAGATTCTCTGTCTACCATGCTTCAACCTCTCACACTCAATGCCACACTTGCATTCATATTTCTTTGTCAGATTGAGGTACTCACATTCCCGTTTCATCATCTCCACCCTGTGCTGGGATTTTGTCCTCGCACACTTTCTGTCTGCCTTAAACAGTAAATATGATTCATTTTGTCTTTCATTGAAGAAATGCTAAACCACATAAAAGTTCCTTCCCCAATTTGTGTTTGTATCTATATTATATAAAAAGTAAACTTTTGTTTCAATTAGGTATGATGATAATTTTTTTTTAAATGAAAGTCATTTTAATATTTTGTATATAGCGTCTTCTGCAATTGTATCTCCATTGGGCTATCGATGTTGTGTCATGAGACTAAGTATCCAATTGGATGGATCTCTTATCGGCACAACTCTTCACATTAGAGAATGGCGCACAGAAGCGGATATAACTAAATTATCTCTGAAATCTCTTGAAGTGACCTAATTCCCTCACAATAGCAAGCAGCACTACACCCTGTGCCACAATGCGAATGATCATCGCTTGACAGTTAAACCCGTATTTTAATCTTCAGAGCAGAAATTTTGCTAAATTCATTGCAGAACTGAAATTATTGTGATGGGTTTTTTTTGTCATCTGAAAAGCACAGTAGGGAGCTGCACTCTCCCACCCACTCTCCGATTAGCACCTCCGATTAGCACGGTTGGCTACGTACGGTGCAAAAGAAGTTCTACATACATACATACACTCTGCCGCTGAGAGTCCTAACGGGTGCCCGCGTGTGTACCCACATTCCCCCCCTCCCACTCTTTACCCATCTGCCATCACCAGGAGGTACGTCGTCTCCGAGCAGCTCCCCGTGTTCCAGCACCCCTAACTCCCCCGCGGGCTCGGGACACATCCGACCCAGCACCCTGCAGGGGCTGGCGCCCAAAGTGCAGCGCACGTACCGCTCGCCGCGCCGCAAGTCAGCCAGCAGCATCCCCCTGTCGCCGCTGGCGCGGACACCGTCCCCCGGGCGACCTTGCTCCAGCGCCACGGGGACGGCGGCCGGAACCGGAGCGTCCGGGTCCCCTCCGCCCTCGCGCTCCGAGTCGCCCACACCCACGCCGTCGCCCGCGCTCTGCCATCCCGGGCTCGCGGCCGGCGCCGGCGTGGGCAAGATGCACTCGTCGCCGCCCACCGTCATACGGCAGGTGAGAGATGGAGTGAGCGAACTAGCGATCGTTTGATCGATCATGTGCATGCACAGGCGCAGCGAGTGGGATGTGGACTGTGTGGCGGCACGTGCAGAAGTGCGGGTTGCTGTGCCGTTCACTGGATACGGTGCGACGAACGCCGGTGTGGTTCTGCGGCTTCTAGCCAGGCCTGGTAGAACGCGGTGTGGCCCTCCATGTACATAAAGGAAATCTCAACCCAAAAACACAATATGTTCTTGTTTGTAGAGACATGCCTGGGCTGTGCATCATCCACGGCTGTTTTATATTAATGAAAAGATTTGTTAATGAGAAAGAAGACAAACTATGATGAATCTTGTCATCATGGCACTACAGTGATGGCACTGCCATGTATTCAATGAACAAAGCTTCATATTCGTATATTAGCATCCATGACATATGACATGAGCGTTTACTGAATGTAGGTTCTTTGAAAGGATGTTTCTTTGCCTTGTGTTAAAATCCAGCTTGCTCTCTTGACAGACATACCACGTGTTGTTGTTTTGCTTTCCCACCTCCACACACAGGTATTTGTGAATGCCTCCCAGTCCACGCGTCCCAAGAGCGCCGAGCCCCCGCGATCCCCACTGCTGAAGCGCGTGCAGTCGGCTGAGCGTCTCGCCTCCGTCTACAATTCCGACAAGAAGCAACAGCAGCAGCAGCAGTTACAGCAGCTGCAGCAGCAGCAGCAACAGCAACAGCAAGGGCAGGCACAGCACACGCCGCTTTGTCGCAAGCCCGACCCGTGCGACCTGCGCAAGGAGGACGCGTCGCGGCCCGAGCGCGGCTGCCTGCGCAAGCTGTCCCGCCAGGAGCACGACGACGGGGAGGAGCGCGAGCGTCACCACCGCGAAGGCTGCCTGTCAGCCAGGGCCGACAAGAGCAAGCTGCCCAAGCAGGAGATCGAGGCCATCGAGGAGGGCAGCGACTCGGAGACGGAGGGCGAGAGCACGGGCGACTCGGACAAAACTGCGGATGGCTGCGATGCCGCCGGACATGGCTGTGGCGAGCCGGGGCGCTGCGTCCCGGGGGGCGCCGCCAAGGGGGCAGTCCAAGAGGCTGGAACGGCGATGACGCCGGTTAAAGACTCCGCACAGCTGGCGATGCCAAAGCGCTCCTCGCCTGTGTCCGAGGGGAAGGCCGCGGGCGCGATGGAGAGCTGCGATCGCGTGGGGCTCTGCCAGGACAAGGAGCCAGACGTTGATCTCAGGCCAGACCTGAGGACACATACGGACAAACGCATAACGCAGCAAGAGACCGTGCCAAAGATTGAGTTGTCTAACGATATCGATCAAGCGAGTGTCGACAGCGCTACGTCAAGCCAAACTGTGATAAAAAATCTCGAACAAGGCAATTCCGTGGTTCTTCCCGTGGAAGCTACAGGAGCAGCAGCAGCAGTAGTGATGGGGGCAACAGCAGATAAGTTGGTCCAGCAGAAGCTGCCAGACACCTTTCCCTCTGGAGCAAAATCCGAAGTGGGTTCAAAACCAGAGCAGGTGCCGCGGATGGACCAGGGTGTCCAAACAGACTCGGCGCTCACCAACTATCGCCCTGGAATCCTGCGGTCAGCTGAGCGGAGGAGCAGCTCCCTGGTTGAGGGAATGGTCAAATCATCACCAGCACCTGTAGCTGGGTTAGGAACGGCAGCCACAGCGAGGGAGGCATCGACGTCGATGAGCAAGGAGCCAGCGGTGTCAGCAGGCAAGCCAGGGCCCTCGAAGCGGCAGGCAGAAGCATCCATCAGTGCGGGCAGCAGCGTGGCCCCCACGTCGTTGGGAAAGGCAGAGGATGCCATGGCGTCGAAGGTCATTTTGGACCTGCAGGGGATCCTGCTGGACCCGCCGAAAGCCATGTTGGGCCAGTGTTTCACACGCTCGGCATCCGTCTCGACGCTCAACAAGAGGGACTCTCAGCAAGCCAAGGGCGAGTTCCACGCGGAGGCGAGGGCGACCGCTGGGCTGGCCGGGCACCCGCTAGTCTGTTCGAGCGACGCCATATCCGCACTCGAAAGGATTTTGCTGTCGTCGTCAAAGGTCGGCCCCGGGGGGAGACCGGCGCCTGACAGGGAGCTTGGCACAGAGCCCGGAGATAGCGCAACAGCCAAGGCGGTCGCTCGCACGGCACCCGGAGTGGGCGAACGAAACCCAGCGCTGAGGCCACTCGTGTCTTCTTTGCCGAGCTGGGAGGCGAAGGCAGTGGTGGCAGTGTCGGAGAGGGAGCGGCGGGTGCTGCGCCCCGGCTCCCCAGCGCCGGAGCGGAAGCGTCCGTTTTCCTGGGCGCCGACAACATTCCCAGCAGATGCAGAGGCCGCAGCCTTCGTGCCACCATTGCCACCGCAGCTTCCACCACAGCCTCCACCGCAGCCTCCATTGCAGCATCCACCACCACCAACACTGAGGGTGGAGGAAAGGATGAGTAGTGATCCCCAGCCCAAGGAGATGGACGGAAAGTCTAAAGCACCGGGAAGCAGCAAGAAATTAGTGTAGACAAAGAAGCAAATCAAGGGATATTAGCATGTTTACTACGCCGTGCTGCGGTTTGACTTTTATTGTTTCCCCTGAAATTAGTTTCCCACAAACCCCGCCTGCCTCAGCACTGTCATTGTGGCTCTTGCTGACCATCCCTTCATCCTGAGTCCCGCTCGTTTATGGATTCCTTGTCGAAAAAAAACACATTCATCCCCGCTCTCCCCTGTGCTAACTGCCCCTGACCACAACCCAATTCTCTCAAGGCAAAACCTCACCCCTGTTGGACCATGATCCCATTAACCTCTGACCCCTAAACCCACGTCCCTGGTAGCTTGTTCCCTGTGATATTCGCTTGAAGCAGGTGTTGCAAACTCGTAGTTTTTTTTTTATTAGTGTTGAATTGCTAGGCCAGTTGGGTAATCGGTGTCACCCACATATTTAATTAATTAATTTGGAGATTTGGATGAGTGTGACACACATACAAGCACCATTGCATTGAAATGCAGAGGGGAGAAAAAATTGGAACCCTCAGTACACCGCTTGCTCCACTGGTTGCGGTGACTTGACATCGGTAGTGCACGTATATCGGGAGGGTTGTAGCGGTTGAACGGACGAGTCTGTTGGTCCATCTTGTAGTTAGCAGTTTGTCTCGAGTTATCTGCTTCTGCCTGTGGTGGTGTCGGTGCTGTTGGCTGTGCCGTTGTACATAAAACATGTTAGTCCGCTTTGCAGTGTGGCTGCACGTATTGCTCACATTGCTTGTCTCTTTAGGTTGAGTGTTATTCTTTTTACACTGAAATACTTGAAAGCTGTATGTATGTGTATGTAAATAGTATACAGTATTTATGCATTACTTGGCATTTGGCAGTGTTGAGCTTTGTAAGTGAAGCCAACGAATTATAGAATAGGTAGTGCTCCTTTTGGCCCCAGCAGCTGTGTGCTTGGCTCTGCAGTGGAATCGTAGGTTCTGAGAATGGTGTCACGTTCAGAAATATTGTCTTAGTTTTCTTTGCGGTGCATACGCAAGTCAAACGGCTCCAGTCAGAACATTTTCCGGCTCGTTTAAGTAAGTTTCACCACACCTCGGACACTGCATACTGTCTGGCTTTGCGACTGGAAGAATGTTTAAAAAAAAAAACGTTCCTCCTGCAGACTGTGTGGGGACCAAACACAAATGGATCCCAATTTGACCAATTTGGTTGAGGCCTGGATAAATATTTAGGAATATAAAGGAATCCGATCATGGGAATACAGGTAACACATTTTAAGTCTGCTCCATTGCTTGCAGACGAATATTGGTTTCCGTATAGTTGGTTTCTAAAAAGAAAAAAACTGCTTCTTGGATAACAAGAAAGCCAGAGGTAAAAAAAAATCCAGCTGTAAATGCAAACTTTGTCTCACAGTATTCTGAGATCTCACTCCTTTCATTATCATCCCGGTGAACATGCATACTCCAGGCATGTGTGGTGTTTCAATATATATTGTGAGTGTACCATTCTTTTCATTTAGCTGTTGGAAGTTTCGTGAACTCGCCATCACTCGGTTTACGGTTACTGTTGGCTATGGGATTGCTGGCATCCGGTGAATCAGATGTGGGTATGTCACCACTGGTCTGGCCATAATGACAGTGGAGATCCCAAAGAGTATGGAAGAATCTTTATCATACAATAAAGGCCTGGCCTGGAGAATAAATGGACAATTGGAATATATTATAATTCGTATTCAATGTAATTTGGTGAAACATTCACATGGGCCGGTTTTTTATCACACACATTTTGCACACGGTCTCAGAACACGAGGACACAAATGGTCTGTTTGCAGTGGAGAGTTTTTTTTTTCTCCCATTCCTGAACAGAGCAGGAAGGAAAGATCTGCGAGATGCAAGAGAATCGCAGCAGAATGGCACTGTATGGCTGAAAGCACAGTGTGGTGCAACATATCAGTGTGAAAAACGAAAAAACTGAATAAAATACATTTTACCGTGATCTGGCCAGGAATTTGGTGAATTTCAATTAAGCCACCTGCTGCTTTAAAATTAAGCCCAGATTGCAAATGTAATTTATCGATGACATATTGTGACATGGAAACTAGGTTGTGCCGCTTGGGATTCTGCTTTACACTGCGAATGAAGAAAGTGCGCATTCCAGTGTCGTGAGATGCGTGGCCACGTTCAATAATATTTTATGGTTTTTATTTACTTCGCAATCAGTAAATGCTTTCCATTTTGTGTTATTATTATTTTTATCAAAGAAAAAAAAAGCATCATATCTCCACGGTTTACTTGGTGTGACTGGTTACAAAAGTTAATTACATTAAATGGCAATATAATTGAGCAGAATACGCCAGCTTTCAGATTCCTTTTCTGCTGGTGTCTGCCAGGGATCGCGGTGCGCTGCACCCTTTGAAGGGCAACTGCCGTTCGTATGAACTTGCCTTGAAAGTCTGTAAGGTCTGTTGTGTACCTCTGTGTATTTGTGCGAGTCGGAGCATGTATGCGTGTTGAGCCCATTTACACACTACAAGTGCATGCAAAAGAAATACATGTTTCCTTACATGAGGCTATGACTGTGGCAGAGGAATCGATTTAAATTTTCATGTGCTCTGCATGTTATGGCTTTCCGATAGTTTGGGGAAAGCGAACTCATGTGGATAAGCATAGATAATGATAAACTACATGATAGTCCATCTCATTAACTGGGAAAATACACACAGATTGGGCTCACTTTTGAGAATTAGATGCTGCAAAAGGCGTAATGATCAAATGTTATCCTGGATTCTTGTAAAGCCACTTACAAGCCATGCATTTACATATTACACTGCAGTGAAGTCGGGTAACAATGAGAAAATTAACAGTGATGATGTCATTGTGTTACACAGGTGTCAGTGCAGCATTTTGACTTAGATTGCCCATCTGCCAACAGCAAATAAATGTTCTGATATTATTTGGACGTCATTTGCCAAATTCACAAACCAAAAAGTTATTTAGATTATAAAGCCTCAATTTTAAAGCCCCACTGTGTTTTTGCTGGTTCATGTTTATAACGTCTGTATAAAGCAACTTTGACAATTGTTCACGGCTTTCTGGTGACTTGTATAAGTACGATTCCAGTCCGAGTCCATTTTACTGTGCACACTTTGCACATTTCCCATTGGAAAATTTTTATCGTGAACGACAGTTGGCCAAGTGGTTGATAATTCTCAACAAGAAAAAACACAAAATTGTCATTTATTTCCACTGAAAAAACATTGTCTTTGAATGGCAAGTGTTTACATACTCTTAGAATCCCATTCTCAAAAATAAAATTTAACCTCCCCTGTGTGTTCATGTGTATATAGCAAGAATACACTCATGGAACCAATTAATATAGTGTGTGTACGTGACAGAAGCAGGGTCTCTCATGAATGTAAATATTTAGCAGAGGTGTTTGATGTTATTGTTGCAAATGCTTGTAAGAGGTGTGGTGCCAGTGCGGTTGATAACCTGTGGTCGAGGTTGTTGATACTGCAGTGCGCATACCTCTAGAGGCCATGCTGCATTTAGTATGGTGACATTTTTGGCATGCACGTTTAGTCCACATTGCTTCTTTTGAACAAATGGCCGCAAATGTGTTCCGGACGCTCAACTGCATTGGCAGCTCATAACGAGCATTGCAAAATCGGAGAGCTGCCTATCCCCCTACTAGCATCGCTTACAATTTATGATCCTTATGGAGTTATGGAGCAGTGGTAACCCACACCGCTACGTATCCTGGCGACCTAAATTAGATTCCCGACTGGCTAACATTAGTGGTGAGTTATGTCTGACCTGATCCTTGGCAACCACTCTTTACCAGCCTACACTAATCTGCGTGAAGTGTGGTCAATCCCCCTTGATGAATACAAGCTTGAGTTTATTTGTTTAAGTTTCTATGTTTAACTAGCTGAGAACTCAAGACACTGGGATAGTCTCATTTGCAAGAGTTACCTTGGGTATACAGTGTGGTAAGGCCTTCATCTCCAGCAGTGGATTGGCAGAGCACCGTTATTTAAAATGTCCTCCTCTGTTAAAAATGCACCGTATGTCTTTTAGGATATATTTCTGTATTTAAATATAAAGTGTGCCACTACAAGCCTCCATTTGCAGACACGGCTAATTGTACTTGGTCAAGTTCTCAGTGTGCTTTTTCTGGTTTGGGATCTGGACCTGGTCTTGAACCATCTGTGCCACATCACATCCCAGACAGGCACAGCCACCACTTCTCCCTCTGACTGATGGTGTCTGTGGGCGTCAAACTTGATCTCGAATCCCCACTAGTGGATGCAGCGCCAGTTAGCACCATATTTTGCCCATTTGTGTTGTCATCACTTCCAGCTGAGGGTTGAGGGTTGGCATGTCTAACTTTAAGATGACGTTATTCACAGTCCGCTTTATTTACAAGACATAGATCACTGGACCTCTTCAATTAGATGTCGGTCTATTGCTATTTTTGTCAGACAACCTTTAACGCAACTGCTTGTCATTTTATTTGACGTGACATTGAATGACTTACGTTGGTGCTGTTATCCAGTGCCCTTAACATGAGGGTTTTTGTTAGTTTTATTACAAGGGAATAAAACACAAACTGGCTTGTGTTCGCGACACGGATCACATTCCGTACGTGTTTTAAATCGGACGTATATCTCTATAACCTCTTAGGATAAATCTAACAGATTTGGATATTGTTCACCTCACACTAATTGTAGAAAAGCGGGAATTAGTTGAGAGATGTTCTTTTTAGGCAGTGTAACTTTCACACCTTCATTAGAGTTGTGGTTAATGGTGGCTGGTTTTGGTCGATTGTAAATATCGCAGGTTGGGCCGTTAGATCAATAATCTGTAACATCCCAGTTTAAGAATCAACATGCTTTTAGCACTGCCAAGTGTCAATACATTTTAGTTTTCATTGGTTGTGCGACCCGACGTTCATATTGTGCAGAAAAGGAATTGCGCAAATGTATCGTCAGGGCAGAGCGTGTAGTCATTTATTCAGTAAATTTAAATTTTTTCGCCATGTGTTGTTTACAGTCCCCGCTGAGGAGTTTGTGTTTGTATAAAGATGTTTTTTTTTATTTGACTGTTTACTGAATGCTTGTTTACCAAGAGATGGACTTTTTTTCATGGATATAAGTTGCGGTTTTGAATAGTTGTATTATTTGTCGTAGACTTAGTGCAGTAGTTGATATATTTTTTTGCAGTGGATATGTGCTGCGTGAATTTGAGAGACATGATGCTGGCCGATTGGCCGTATCTATTTTAATTTTTTCGTCAAAGAAAACACGTTTTGATTTTCGCATGCTATGATCCAGGGCGTGGAACGCATTTCCCTCAGCTTGTGAACATATAATTTTTACCTTAAACTTTACACGTGTAGATCTGTATGAAAGTGAATGGTGGCCAGTGAGTGACATCGGATGCAGAAGGTAATCTTTTTGTCTAACAGTGCCCCCTATGAGTGCTCCAAAGCACACAGATATGTACGCATTTTCTTGGTCCATGTATAATGTATATATGCGAGTGTGTAACAGCAAATTGCGCTTGATTTTCGGGCCTACAGCTTAGATACCCGGTCTCCATTCTATGCTGAAGCGTGCAAGCGCGCTTTTTTACCTACATAGTATATAAATGTAAAAACAAAATATACATATAATTATTCATAAACTTCATTTGCAGCCATTTCACAATGAACTTTCCTAGGCAGATTTCTCGATTCTTCAAACATATGTGTATGTGACCATGTGTGTACGTAACCATATAGCAGAATTGTCATAATTTTTTCTATATAAATTGCAACAATTTTTTGACACGCATTACGGTAAAGCAACAACATTTGTATTCCATACGCAAATGTATTTCCAATCACTTAACATGTCGTTAGAATCCATAACAATCGTATATTACCAGTCCCTTAACACGCAGGTCAATGTAACAATATTTGTAATTTCCTCAGCGTAACTTTTTATCAATTTCTAACGTTTCAATTTTGCAACATGCGTTTTTTCCATTCACACGTAACATTGAGTTCCAATCCATAACAAGGGAATGTTCTCCGTCCAGATCGTTTTTCCATTACAGCTCAACACTTCCCGTGATAGCCTCGACCGGTTCCCCATTGCCTAACCGCTGGTGGATTAGAGGGGCGACTGGCCTTAGTCTCTTGCGTCTGCCAATGAGCCAGTTTAACACGGAATCTATGGTCCGATTCCTGTTGACTTCTGACAGGGCATTGTTACCAAAGCACGCATCTGTTTTTATGTTGATTATAAATATCCCGTGATATAATTAGCAAGAGTTGATCATTGTGTGCCAGTCTCCCGTCTACAATTCAAATGTAAATAGCTTTAAATGTTAATTCAAATTCCTTGCGTAGCCAGTTCCTGCAGTTTGCTTCAGATTGAGACTGTATCAATGGTCTATTACTTGGATAATAAACAGGATATAATTATGATAAATATAACCATTAAAAGCCTGTTCTTTATGTTTAGCGTTTGTTAAATATATTATTTAACGTACGTGGAGTTTTGTAATGGGCTGGGGTCAAGCGTTTGTCCATTTCAGCTGCTCGCTGTACTGTTTTGTTGTTGTGTCAGTAGTTTTGTTCTAACGGTCCCCAAACAGGCACTTCATTCACAACACCGAAGCCCAAAGCAGACCGACACTCGGATTAACGGGAGCAGAGTGAAGGAAATAATGGTTTCTGAAGAATTAGAAATCCTATTTCAATATTCCCCACGTTTAATCCGGCATTTGCTCGTACATTGCAGTCACGGAGAGAAGTCACTGTGTCAAGTTCTCTGTGAACGTGTTTTGTTGTTGAAGTGAGTCTCTGTGCAACTCTCGTTTAAGTGACCACGTGTGGATCGGTGCATGTGTCCTGCATTGGATGTAGGAAGTGCGGCTGTGTGCATGTGCTGGCCTGGGTTGGGCCCTTTTGAATGTAATGCATATAATAAATCCAAATGGGCGCTGATCTGTGCAGGTTAAAAGTTAAGTAAAATTCACCCGTGCTCTTTTCAGGCTTAAGCGGTGCTCATCTCCACTTGGGTTTGAGCAACTGATGGAAATTCCACGTTCTCATGGCACGGCCCGGTTCCCAAAGCAACGGCCACTGCTGACTTGGCACCAAGTGGGTGGTCGTATAACTGTGACCCCGTGGGGATTACGGTGATGACGGGCCTCGGTTAGCCCCTTGCTCTTGATTTAGGAGGCGAATATGGGAATTCTATTACATGTGGATTTCTCATCAGTGTGCACAGCCTAAGGTTTATACCGAGTGGCTAATAATCCGTGAGAGATGGGGCAGGTTGTGTAATCGCACCCTGATTGCGTTGTGGCTGTTGTGAGCACGTAGAAGAGGGAAGATCAAGAAGTCTACTTAGCCAAGGGTATGTGCGTGTGTATATATATTCTGCTGTCTCGTTGGGAAAATATTGTCTGGAAGGTATGCATGTATCGATTCGCCCAACACCCTCATGGTTTAGGTGAACGTATTCTTGTTTGCCCATTGCTGTGCATCCTATGATCTATTGTGGCTGCAACGTTTCCATGGAACTGCATGGTTTCGATGAAGCAATCACACGGAAACAATTGATTCTTGCGAGCACAATCCGATGCGTGCGTTGTGAGTGCAAGAATCGATGTTGATATGATGACTCGTTACATGCCTGCCGGAAGGCGAGCTGTTTGTTCCTCTAAATTAAAACGTGCTGGTGTCGTCGTTTGTGCTGTGGCAGTCACGCGTTTAATGCACTCTTCTTTTTTCGTGACATTTGTCATGCAGAATGGCGAACCAACAACAGCTGTTGAGTTGTGCAATAAAACATTTTGCAAAATATTGCCGCCACGTTGCTACTGCCTTGTTTTGTTGTACGCAAGTGCTTCACGGATGTGTGATTATTAGTGTCACAAGTCTCATGTGATGATAGATCAGATTTGCAAAGCTGTGTTATTTTACCCGTCGTGCTATAACATCAAACAATGAAGATGACCGCGTGAAGCTGTAATGCTGGGAGAAGAACTACGGCACAGGGATTACTTCAGCCTCATCGTTGCT